TATGGAGGAGTAAGTGAACACTATCATGTGTTAAAAACCACAGGCTGATTCTGCCTGGTATAACTGCCACCTGCCAGCCATGCACTCAGCAACTGCAAGATTGTTCCCAAATTCCCTTTTCACAGAGGACCCCCAACTAAAATTGCTATTTAATCTGGAAGAAAGTTTCAACCGGCACAAAACTGAAATTCTGGGGAAACAAAGGTTGATTAGGTGTGGCATGGAAGAAAAGTATTAAATTCATCTCCATGTGTACTGTAATCCTCTTCCCGCCTTCCAGAACTTCTGGATGTAGTTTCTTGGGAAAAGAAAAAGCAACAGTTATTTCCTTTTTGTTCCAAAATTTAAAGTTTGAGAATGACCAACTTATAAGCACACATTAACAAAGATAACCTCTTAGCTGGAAGAGAGACACAGTAGAAAATATGATATTGAGAGGACAGTATCTTGCTGTCATGCTTTTTCAAATATCTATATCTGTATGTATATATACATATAAAAAAAAAATAGGGAGGATGTTTCTTTTCAGTCCACTGTGTTTCAAGTCAGACATTCTGTGAAATGTCTGATTACTTTCAGAAGCCCAGTTGGAAGGGACAGGGGGCAAAGCTTTATTCTAAGCATGCTCCAAATTCTAGAAGGTGAAGAGCAACATTGTCTAGTATAATGAAGATGATCTAGAGGCTTCAACAGAAACAGAATGCCACTTGTTTCCTGAAAGTTATGGAAGTTTGGAGACACATTATATATATTTGTAGTGAGCTACACTGGTTACCTATTTACTTCTAGGCCCCTCTCAAGGTTTTTTTTTTATTAACATATAAGGCCCTAAACAGCTTGTATAAGTACTTGCTAGAACATATCTCTTGATGTGTGTGAGCCAAGCTTTTAAGATTTTTTAAGGTCTCTAGCTTAAAGAACAGGGCCATTCTTATTGTAGAAAACTCTGCCTTTGGAAATTCGCTGTAAAAAGAGTAATTACCTTTGGACGTGATTCCTGGTGACTTACACTGGTATAACTTTGCAGTTTTCTTGGATGATATGCAAGTGTTTGACTTGATCTGTTTTCAGACTTTCCATTCTAGTGCATAGCTCTGGATTTTCCAGATGATCCCTCAACCAAGTACTGACCAGAGTCAACTCTGGATAGTTTTCATTATTGTGCATTTTTTCTGATATTGTAAACTTATTTTTTGTATAATTAAAAATATTTTTCATTAAAAAATAGGTAAGTTGTTTACAAATTTCATGTTTATATTCCAACAAAGAAATATTAAATTGTTTTGGAAATAGTCTAAATATATAATATATAAATATATTATATATAATATATAAGAGGACTGCAGTTTTATTACAAGATATTGGATCAAAATAAGACAAGCAAATGGTGCTTCCCCCAGAATTATAACCTTGATTATCTGTAGGAAGCTTATTCTGCAGGTCATGAAAAAGGTTTTGCACTGGGAAATGCATAGAAAATGGACTTCTGGTGGGAATATGGCAGCTTAGATACCTCTCCGCAACAGGGAGAGATGACGCCGCAGCTGGATTGGTGGCCAGCAGCAAGCTCTGGCCACCCAACTTGCTCTGGATAAAGGAGGAAGTGAGGAAATCGACCATTTGGTCTCCTTGAACAGCCATTCCTTGAAAGCTAATCATGAAGACTGGAGCCTCTGTGAACAGCTCTTGACTCGAGCAGCTGGGAGGTGGGGGAACCATCTCTATTCATCACTGTGGTGCAGCTGTAATGGACACTAGAGCCAAGAGATTGCCATTTCTTAAACACTTTGGCTTATCATTATTTTTCAGCTTAAGAGAGACTTTCCTT